AGTACAGCATTTGGTTTTATTGTGCGAGCGAAGCGGAACATACAAGCGCGAACATGTTGCCCTGGACTACTCTTCCAGTGAACAAGCGCACCGTTCAGAACATGAAGCTCGCTTTTATAGGAAGTATTCACTCGCGGCCCTATCCGTGTGCGCAGCTGCTGAGCGCGTGCTGACGGCGAGCTTCGGCAGTCCTTTTTGGAGCGTGCATTTAGCACCATCAAGGTTGCTGGTCTTAGCGGGCTATTAATGTGAGCTCGTTCTAAGCATGCATTCTAAACATCGCCCTCAAATATGGCGTCCAATGAATACGTTTGCAAGAAAGGCTCCTGTGCGCTGCCATTTTGAGCGATGCTGGCGCCCCGTACCGTTTCCGCCATGCTGGGGTGCGCCAGGGGCACGTCAGTGGGGTGCACGATGACAAGATGGTGCCGTTTGCTGCATCGCCGATGGCTAACGTTAGCGGCACACTTACTGTCACACTTACTGTCTCGGAACGCAGGAGGAGGTATCCATACAGAATCGTAGCATCACATATTGTAGGACGGGGCATCTTTAAGGGTTGGAGCTGACTCTATAACGATCGCAGCCTCTGTTCCTGCATGTTGTGGAAGCAAGAGCTGCCTCGAGCGCAGCCATCGCTGATGCAAAAGCCATGCGACTTGTGGTGGATTCTGAAGAGCGCCTTAAGACTATAGATCTTTTTGAAATTTTTCTATTTGTTACCGGTTTAAGCATTTTATTTAATTATCCGTGCTCTTTCGCTGTAGAAGACGACACGTGTACGTTTTATAATTATTTTTTAAAATTTCTTTCTGCGCTCAGTGGTGTACGCTTCGGCGAGAGACGCTTGGCAACATTGTACGACAACCAGCGAACGCCCCGGCTGGAGAGTAGGTCCGCCTCACCTTAGCGCGCGGTTCGAGGTTAAGCCGGGATCCCACTTGCAAAGGTGTATAGCTTTTGGTGAGCTCAAACCTTTTAAGACACAATTATAATTAATTCTATTATTACAATTTTTTTATTGTGTGCGCCTATGTTTTCTTTTCTTTTTTATTGTTACCGTGCCATTTTCTTAGTTATATAATATTTTTCCAGAAGTCTGTCAGCCATAGTCGTCTTCATCATAAATAAGAACCGGATAATCAAAGAAGTAGACAAAAAAAAAATAAAAACACGTGAACGCACATTAAAAACGCAATGTAACAGCCCAATCGAAATTAGTCGTTAGTTTATTATAGCACAAGAGTTCCGTAGGGTGATATTGTTACCCGTTATAGATTATAAATTTAGCCACTGCAGTACAACTGTTAGCTTGGGATCTTTAACGTGCATCACGCAGTTTACGTGATACACGATCGCGCGACGGTAGGATGGAGATGGGTGACAGAACCCCGGGTCCCTGCTAAAGCCCCTTGATAAAGGCGTTTTTTACAAGTACCGCCAACCATTGTTATGGAAACGCGCAAGACACGAGCCACGAACAGGTGGTCAACCGCCATTGGCTTCCAAGGGGCAGTCATATCAGTGCTGCGCCGCCATTCGCCTCCAAGGCCCGCTAGAGACACGGGCCTCGTGCACTGGCACATTTGAAGTTGCTTGAAGGACCAACGCAAACACCTTTAGGGGTTTTAGTGCCTACAGGTTCTGCAGCATGAGCTCCGTGCTTTGAATGGAGCTCACGCTCGAGCATTTCTCCGCGTGCTCTCCTCTGTGGTGCCACAACACACTCGGCCAACGATCCCCCACCACACTTGGTTCAGCCTAGAGAGCTAAACCAAATGAGCCACGCTTAGAGGATCGCCAGACTTTTCATCGATATCGTTGCGGACGCCGCCATCTTGGTGACTAGTAGAAAATCAACGCAACTGCCGATCGTCATGATCCAAAAGTGCGACTTCCTCAGCATTATAGTTTCGGTGTTAGGAAACTCACATAATATTGATTTGCTTTGTCGCGAACTGTTTAAACATTTCTGGAGCATGGAAAAGCGTTTCCTGCGATTTCAGATAAAGCTTCACATAACTGACAATTATCATTTTAAGCACCGAGATGTGTATGAAGCGTAGCTTGTTCAGTGGCTGTAGTTTAGCCCGACCGCACAGGCACAGAAAGAGAACGAACTGCCTGACCTCGCGCTCTTGGTGCTGCTTCAGTGGCTTCATGAGCCCGTAGCTGTGGATGCGCTCCGGACTAAGGTAAAGCAAAGCAAAATGCAGACCTTAGGGTTTTACAAGTCAAACGAACAAAAATCACCCAACACGCCCCAATAAAAAAACGAAGAAATTGAGGGGTTATTTTAACTAAGTGGAGATCTTTTGACGTGCAACCGAAATCTCAGATTGGCCTCCGTCAGAGTGCGGGCACCTCGGCCGGTATTTAAACCTGACAATTATGGATTCATGCGCCAGTGCTTTGACTCAGAGACACTGAGACGTTTTAATGCTTTGTGTTTTGTTTTATTACCATTGCCACTTAAAAGCCAACCAGGTGGTTTTTGAAACAAATTATAGTCGATCCATTCCGACACGCATAGTTTGATTTCGAAGGTGGTTTTTCCAAGTGATAAAAATGAAAGCCGTTTACAACTCCCTGTAAAGCCGAATTAGAGCGCAGCTCTTGAGGTGGAGGGGAAGGTACGCAGAGGAGACTATGCCCCTCCTCCTCGTCTGCTCGCCTTCCATTTAGGGGAAACTTTTCCGCTAAAATTAGCGGGAAAATTTTTTTCCGCTAGATGTCGCGGGGAAATTTTCTCCGCTAGATTTAGCGGGGAAAATATTCCGCTAAATTTAGCGGGGAAATTTATCTGCTAAATTTAGCGGGGAAATTTTTCCGCCAGATTTAGCGGGGAAACTTTTGCGCTAAATTTAGCGGAAAAACGTTTTCCGCTAAATTTAGTGGGAAATTTACCATAATGCACCGCACGGTTACGCCGACTCCGCCGTTGCCGTCAGGCATGTGTACCGACGCACAGTAGAACGCGCGCAAAAGCAGGTGTGGTGCACCCGCAGCCTCGCGCTTTCAGAACGCAGCTCTCAGGCGCCCGTTTCCGGCTTGAGCGGCGTCGTTGTCGCCGTCGGCGTCGGCGTCGGGGTCGGTGTCGCCGTTGCCGTCGGCGTGACCTCCCCAGGTCACGTAACCCCCCCAGGTCCGGGGGGCACGGGATCTCGGGGGGGGAGGGGAGGGAATCACGTGATCCCCGGGAGAATGAGAAGGAGGTGAAGGAGAAGGAGGGGGTGGAGGAGGAGGATGAGGGGAGAAGGGGAGGAAGAGTAGCAGGCAGGATCACGAGGGAGGAGGAGGGAGGAGGGGTATACCCTCCTTTCACTACCCTTCCCTCCTCCTCCTCAAGAGCTGCGCTCCGATTCGGCATTACAGGGAGTTGTAAACGGCTTTAATTTTTTTGTTCTGACACCACTGACTCGCTCAGTGCGGGCATCCAGGCATATGGCACCCTGATAACTGGCGTTTTTTTTTCTATCTTTCACGCGGCCTTCCAAGCGGCACACGACAGCGAATGCACATCAAGCTATTCTGGAACACGTGCCGCCATCTGTATTTTACATTAAGAAACTGCAATTTGCCGTAAAGTAATGGGAAAAGTTTCAGGTCTTATAACATTCTTAACGTGTAATATATCAGTTTGAACGTTCTGGAAATCGCAATATAAAAAATGCTTCGTAATTTAATGTCTCGTAATTTTGATTAGTTGACGTGATTTAGTTTTTATAGCACCATGAAGAAATACAATTTTAAACTTTTTTAATGTTAAAATATGCCTTACCTGTAGAGTTCGTTCCTTACTTTTTTAATTCAATATATCCAAACGAAACCTCACGTAATATATCGTGGACGGTGGGAGTCTTAACTTGAGAAATATTTTTCTGGAATATTAGAGATTGCGGTCTATTAAAAGCTGAATAATTAACTAACAACTGAAAATAATCGTTATATTGAAAATTTAAAGTATCGTTGAAGAACACTTCTTTATTTTGACATTAATTGTATAATTGTAGGATACATAGAACGAAAGTCATTAACTGTCAAAAAAGCCCCAAAACGTCATGCACGGCGGGGTTGCGCCTTAAGCTCAGAGTGCAGCCGATGCCGCAAGCAGGAGATCTTGAGGCCGCAGCTTTGAAGCGTTCCTCCACGGGACGAGCACTCACGCTAGAACTGCGCGTCTTAAAGTCAGGAGCGCGGGCCAGCTCGCGCTTGAAGTTTTGTTTGCAATCTCAGCTTGTGGGTGAACAGGGTATAGATGTTTTTTTGTTTCCTTTCGCTCTCAGTCACGTGTGTTCCATATCTGGTATCCGGGAAAAAAAATAAAACATCTGAATCTAGAATGTGCCAGAAATATATGTGAGGCAAAACATAAATCTGTGACAATTACGCATCTTTCGTAAACACCTTCCAGTCGCGTGGAGAGATCAAAACGATGTTTTACCCTTACCAGAAGAAACCACATTCAAGATGGCTGCGCCCTTGTGGGAAAAGTGTATAGCTATACTTAAACGGCCTCTGACACGGAAAAAAAAAATTTTTTTTCATGCTAGGCGTTGAAATGGCATGTCAGGACATTACAAAAAAAAATTGTTTCACTCAGGGGGGCGTGGAGCCGGCACGATCATGGCCGTACCGCTCACGCAATTTCTGCTGTTTGTCGAGGTCATGGGGCGTTGTGCTCCATCTCCGCTGCATCGAGTGAACAACGGAAGCGCCATGCATCCGCCATCATCCACCGTCCCGGATTTTGACTTCGACGACTCTGCTCATGGAAAATGTCCACCGTCTGAATTTGGCCAATGCCTAGTGTCAAGCTACGAACATTGGGACGACAGCCGGCATGCATACGGTGTACAAAAGGCGCAGCGAGTCAGTGACGACTGGGGGCGTGGAGCCGGCACGATCATGGCCGTACCGCTCCGCAATTTCTGCTGTTTGTCCAGGTCATGGGGCGTTGTGCTCCATCTCCGCTGCATCGAGTGAACAACGGAAGCGCCATGCATCCGCCATCATCCACCGTCCCGGATTTCGACTTCGACGACTCTGCTCATGAAAAATGTCCACAGTCTGAATTTGGCCAATGCCTAGTGTCAAGCTACGAACATTGGGACGACAGCCGGCATGCATACGGTGTACAAAAGGCGCAGCCAGCCAGTGACGACTGGGGGCGTGGAGCCGGCACGATCATGGCCGTACCGCTCACGCAATTTCTGCTGTTTCTCCAGGTTGGTGACAATCTTACTAGTCGTTCAAGATTTTATGTTGTTCTGTTGCCGGTTCCACCCCATGTCGTCTTTGCTACTGCTAAGTCACGGAATGTCACTTGCCGCGTGCGGCGACGATTTGTGCTGATGCGTAGTTATGCTTTTTATTTTTTATTGTTGCTACTATGCGGAGACATCGAGTTGAATCCCGGTCCTGATACGGCGGCCACTTTACAGATACTTTTAGATGGGCAGAATGCCATTAAAGCTAAGCTTCAAACTATCGAAACTAATCAAGAGCAAAGCAAGGCGACCCTGGATGACCTAAAAACACGCATAGAATCATTGGAACAGCATCTGGCCCAGTTCAGTGAAATGAAAGCAGCAGTCACGGATTGCAGGAAACAGTGTGAGGACACGCATAGCGTAGTAAGAATTCTAACCGCTAAAGTAGACGATCTGGAAAATCGAAGCCGGCGTTGTAATTTAATTTTTTACGGAGTACCTGACACAGACACCCGAGAGTTACCTGCGGCGTCTGAGAAACGAGTTCAGGAAATTGTAACTAGACTTGGACTAGAGCCCGTTCAAATTGAAAGAGCGCACAGGCTTGGTAGATACTCTATTGGCAAAGCTCGACCACTTATCGCAAATTTCGCGTTGTTCAAAGAAAAACAGACAATCTTGTCAAACGCAAAGAAACTAAAAGGTACTACTATTAGCATTTCGGAAGATTTTTCAGAGGCGGTACGCAGAAAAGGAAAACAGCTCTGGGACTTCGCCAAAGATCACCGTAATGATAATACTCGTGTAAACCTTCGATATGATGCACTGTACTTAAATGATACAAGATACATATATGACGAAGCACTTGGACAAGTTGTTCACAGTACTTGATAGAAAAAGAGCTGCTCGACTTCAAACATATCATTTCTGATTGTGAACTGCCGAAGCGTAAAAAATAAAGTAGATGATTTCAACAATTTGTTGTGTATGACAAAACCTACCGTGGTTGTTGGAACTGAATCATGGCTAGATAGCAGTATCAGTGATGACGAGGTATTTCCAGACAACTACATATCTTACAGAAAGGACAGGAACTATCATGGTGGGGGAGTTTTTATATTGGTAGATAATACTGTTTCTTCTTCTCGGCTTGACATTCCAGTTGGGTCGTGCGAGGCTGTATGGTGCCGGGTTCGGTTATCAAATGGCAAATCACTAACGCTATGTTCTTTTTATAGACCGCCTGGAAGCTCTGCTAATGTCATCGTTGAACTTTCCGAAATGGTAGAAACAATTCAAACAGACTGTCTTATTATAGGTGGTGATTTTAATGTACCTGAAGTATCTTGGAATCGGTATATGTTGCAGACTGGAGTGGTAACTGGAGTGGGAAGGGAAATGATAAACATGGTGCGTACATTTGCGCTCACCCAAATTGTAGAAGAACCGACAAGGGGAAACAACATTTTAGATTTAGTCCTAACAGATCAACCCGCTTGGGTAAAGTCTAGTTTGATCCTACCTGGAATAAGCGACCACCATGTGGTACTTTGTGATATGAACGTATCGTATGAAAAAACACAGCCAAACACTGCCCGGAGAATGTACAATTATGCAAGTGGAAATACTGCTGAGATATGTTCTTCTTTAGACGAATACTTCCAGGAATTTGAAGGTTTATCAGAGTCTCTTAGTGTTAATGATCTCTGGTTACTTTTTAGGGCAAAATTTTTGAGCTACGAGACCGATTTGTGCCATCATGGCTATTAACAGCAAGACGTGCAAAAAGTAAACCTTGGTTTAACAAGGAGTTACGGGCTCTTAGAAATAGGAGACAGAGAGTATTTAATAATCTTAAAAAAAAAAAATCCTCCTCAGAAGGTAGAGCGAAATTAAAGGCTATCGACAAGGAATTTAAAACTGCAACGAGTGAAGCAAAAACTAACTTTCTTGAGTCATTTCCATCGCGAATTAGAAAGAACCCGAAGGAGTTCTGGAGGTACGTTAAACGTAACAGAAAAGATAAAGTATGCATCCCACCACTCGCGCATAACAGCGACTTAATAGAAACTAGCCTTGGGCAAGCAAACTGCCTGAACGACTTTTTTGGCTCAGTCTTTTTACCTAAAACGTTAAATTCTAATCATTCAAGTCTAGCTAGAACGAATAATGAAACCATGGAGGAGGTATTAATTGACGAGCATGGAATTACACTGCTGCTACAGCGTTTGGATCCATCCAAAGCGGGAGGACCAGACGGCTTGCCAAGTAGTATCTTAAAGTTGTGTGCGCGGTCCGTTTCACCGTTTCTGAAGGTGTTGTTTACTAAGTCTCTTAACACGTGTGGCCTTCCCAGCGATTGGAAGACAGCTTGTGTTGTTCCTGTGCATAAATCTGGACCTAGGGAGCTCGTCACGAATTACCGACCCATCTCTCTAACAAGTATTGTTTGTAAAACGTTAGAACATATTTTATATACTAGCATTATAAAACACATCGACGCGCATGCAATGTTTAATCCAAAGCAACATGGTTTTTGGCAGGGAGTCTCATGTGTTACTCAACTAACAGAGTTTGTTCACCAAATAAGCGAAAAATTGGATCAGCGAAGATGCATAGACTGTGTATTTATAGATTTCAAAAAGGCGTTTGATGTCGTAGACCACAACTTACTAGTTCGTAAGTTAAATAGTTTTAATATTAACCCTCGCATAGTTGAGTGGATTCAGGAATATTTAAATTTAAGATCCCAATATGTGGTAGTAAATGGTGCTGCATCTGAAACTATTGACGTGACGTCAGGCGTCCCACAGGGGTCGGTGCTGGGCCCGTTGTTGTTCTTGGTTTATATTAATGACGTCGCAGAAAATATCACTTCTTATATGAGACTGTTTGCAGACGACTGCGTCGTGTATCGAGAAATTAGAAGCGAGGAAGACAACTATGCATTGCAACGCGACCTATTCAGAATACACAGGTGGTGCCAAGAATGGAATATGAAGCTAAACCTAGGAAAAACAGTACATATGTGCTTTTCAAGAAAAAAAGATGGACCTAAAAATGTATACATGATTGACAGTACCCCATTACAAACTGTGTTTGAATTTAAATACTTAGGAATATACCTAACACCATCCTTGTGTTGGCACAGGCACGTTGATTTCGTAACAGGGAAAGCTTGTAAAGTATTGGGTTTTTTACGACGCAATACCCGACAATTTCCGCAAAGTGCGCGAGATTTGTTGTACAAAACTTATATCAGGTCTGTTCTCGAATACGCGAGTACAGTCTGGGACCCACCAACTGCTGTTGATAAAAATAAACTTGAAAGAGTTCAAAACTTAGCGGCTAGATATGTTTCCGGGAATTATAACAGGCGACTCAGCATGACAAGTCTGAAGGAATTCTTAGGCTGGGAATCTCTCGAAAAAAGAAGGAAAAAGCTACGGCTAAAATTATTTCATAACATTTACCACCGCAGAACTGGTATACAGCGCGAAGACTATATTTTCCCCCCGCATTATATCTCTCATCGTGTCGATCACGAACGAAAGGTACGTGAATATAAATGTAATACAAACCAGTTTAAATCTTCTTTTTTCCCCAAATCTATTAGCGAATGGAACCAATTGCCTTCGGAGGTTGTTGATATTTTGGACAATGACGCTTTTTTTGCTGCATTGTAAAAAGTGTTTTTTTTTTTTTTGTTTTTTTTTGTTGTTTCCCGTGGACTGGGTATGCATGTGCGCGTTCTGTTGTTCGCGTTCTGTTATGCTCCTTTATATTTGCTTAAATGAATCACATTGATGTACACTTCCCCCCCACTGTAATGCCACTGGCGCTGTGGGTAAGTGAATAAATAAAAATAAACTAGAGAGGTGCCTAGTTTTTTTTAATAAAAAATAGAAGTAGGAGTCCCGATTCAAAGTTCCCGCCAGTGCACTGTGACGTAACAGTGTACCGTAAGGTGTCGGGGCGGTCAGAAGGGAGGCATCGACATACGTCACTAAAAGTGGGTTAGCAGGAAATCACGTGAGTTTTACTCCTCATGCTCTCCGCGACCGTGCCTACAACTTTTTTTTATTTATTTCCGGCTCTTTGTACGAGCGATTGTAGAAAACGAAGTTTCAGTTCCACTAGCTCTTTATCGCTGCACCGTTGGTTAGTTTGCGTGCTGTACAAGTTGAGGACGAAGAGCCAGTGGATCGACGTGGTGGAGGTCAATGATGAAAGCGTTACAAGTACAAGCCAGTGTACGAGTGCGTGCCATCAGTCCGATGATACAGAGCTATACTGGGCACAAAAAAAGCTATCAAGTTAAAAAAAAAATTGATAACGCTCGCAGAAATTAGGATTGCTTGCGTACAACACGTCCAATTGCATTGCTGAAGCTTCGGACACCGAGGTCGTCGAATCATCGTATACTCTCCAGGCTAAAGATGCCTACCGTCTCTCGGAAATGCATGCAGTGTGACCTCTTCTTCAGTTGCTGAAATACCGGGACAGTCCCTCACACAGCACCTTCTATACTCCGTTTCACCTTATCTTGTACCGCAGACAAGGCTAGAAGCGCGAGCTAATAGCTTTGGGAGCTACTCTTAACGCAAGAGAGCTTGTGCCGCCTTGATGTGCCCTAGAGCAAGGATCTCGCGCTTGTAGCCTTTTCTGCGGTACGCCATAGGTGAAACAGAGTATAGGCACCTTAGTTGATCACGTCAATTCACCGACTCCTCTTCTTCTACATTTACAGCAACATTAAGCGATTAAAAGCAAATAAAAGAAATCTTTTCTGTTTGGATATCGCTCGTGGAGGTGCGGAGAATAACAAAAATATTTAAAAAATATTACACGCGCTCGCTGTAAGCACGAGGAGGGATACAACTCACGTGACTTAAGGCGATGCCTCCCTTCTGACCGCGCCGACACCTTGCGGTACACTGTTACGTCACAGTGCACTGACGGGAACTTTAAATTGGGCCTCGTATTTCTATTTTTTTATAAAAAACCTACGCACCTCTATAGTGAAACAATTTTTTTTGTAATTTCCTAACATACCATTTCAACGCCTCGCATTAATTTTTTTTTTGGCGTGTGAGAGGCCTTTTAAATAGTGACCACCAAAGCATGTTTTGTGCTTTAAGCACGAAATCTGCTTCGCTGAATATGTAAAAGAGGTCACCTATTCCGTCCCAATATCGTGCGGGCGTCACTATGTGGGTCAAACGGGCCGCTGCCTGAATGGACGTTTGAGGGAGCACCGATACAACGTAGATAGCGTCGCATCAGAGCATCTCGGTGTGCACTGACGAGATTGTGGCTGCGCTCCACTCTTTGTTGACTGCGCTGTATTAAACAAAGAAAAAAAAAACAAGAAAAAAAATCACGCGAGCAATGTTTGCGGCCCAGGGAATTGGTAGGTTGGGGCTGCATTGTGGTGTGCGCACCCTCTGTACCTTTGTCCGAAGAAGAATAACTGTCACTTAACCAGGGATGACTAGCCTGAGGTGGTGTGATGAGTGATGTCACAATTTTAGCCTTTTAACAGTGTGTATTTGTATATCTTTCTGAATTTGTTTTTGTTGGCGCCAGTAGATAAATTGAGTTACAACAAAAATAAATTCAGTTGTAAGTGAGCGTTGTGTCTCTGTCTTCCTTTCTGTCCGCTGTCCCGTTGCACTTTTAAACCATTATGAATCACCCACCCGCCGAACACTCCACCATTGTAAGCCTCCCAATGCTTTCTTCTTTTTTTATTTTGTGGCGAAGGTGAGACGGTTAATGCGCAACCACGCGGAGAGTGATTCAAGCGTATCTTGCGAGTCAGTGCTTCGCGGAAAAGCCATTTTCGGTTTTCCGTAAGTTCAAGTGAGCTGAAGCTACAATCAGGAACG